ACTCCAAGTATTTCCCCTTAACTAGTCCTATCATACTCCTCTGTATAATCCCCTATAGAACCCCCTTGAAGGAGTTTAGACTATAGCCTATATCTCATATGAGAAAATGTTAGGAAATCATGAAGGAGCCTTTGGGATGCAGGTTTGCGCTCCAGCAGAGACTGAGCAACCGTTGGCAGTCTTCCTTGGCAGAGCTCTCCTCCTCCGGTTTTAGGGCCTCTTACGTCAGCGCAAACCACGCCTCTAAATTTCAGACACCACCCTTCACAGCACGTTGCTTGGAATTTTGGCTGGTATACAATGTCCCCACGGCCGCTGTTCCACTCTACCCGCTCTACATGAACCGCATGTGACTGCTACGTGAGCACGCCATGTCCTGACATACGCAAACAATCTCTGCACATCACCCCGCGCAGCCTCGACGCGAATCCTTAAACCAAAGCCCAACGCAAACCTGAAGCTCGAGAGGGCTAAGGGCAGCCAGGAAGCAGACCGCACCTTATCCCGAGGGGTCCGAAGCGCAAACGGCTCAGAAGCTGCTGTCTTCAGCAAGCTGGAGCGAGGGGCGCTGGAAAGGAGTCCTTAACACAAAGCAGTTCGAGAGCTGGATCAGTGGCAAAGATGGGCTGGATTTGAAACCGCGTTTAGCCAGCCAACATGTGGATGACCATGACGGTGATAATTATGTTGTTGTCGTCGCTATTACTGCTGCTTCCGCGCTGCGGATGCGGCAACGGGGCGGGAGAGGTTGCAGTGGCGGTCCTGTCCGTGCTATCTATCTATGTCTGTATATGCACATCAAAACACAGTGCAGTGAACTAAATCAAGATTAGTGCTTGGATTGCTGCCATCAATCTAGGTGCTCGACCTCGAAGCGTTGCAAAGTTACACTTGCCCGAGATCTACAATATGAGTAGTGTCTGGGTTGAACGATAGATTTTGTGTCATCCGATACGTGGCGCAAACAATAAATTCGATAAACCCGCGTGGACCAGCAGCATGCTGTCGTATTAATACAGAGGAAGAGAGGTCAAAGCCTCAAATCCCCATAAAACCCCAAACTCTTCAAAAGGAACGAATGCAAATCCTGAATGCCGAGGTCTGGGGGATGACCCTAGCCATCAGAACTCTTGGATTCGGGAGTCTTCCGCGCGTGGCGTGGATTGAAGAATCCTGGTAGAAGAAGCCTTGGAAGCTCATTTCCCATGGGGGGACTGTATATACAGAAAGGTATAAGGGGTACATAGGGACAATGGGGACTTAGATATTGAGTATATGAGGCCTATGTAACGTCCCCACGTGATAACTCCCCTCCTGTATTTGCTTGAAAATGAATGAACCAGGCTCCTCGGCTGTAGTTTGGAAGAACCCTCAAAGCGTACATCCTTGGGGTTGCCACCTATGCACCCAAGAAAATGTTTGAATCCCAGTATGTCATAGTATGTCCCAGAAAGGTGTAGGGCTTAGGGTTTAAGACTGCAATCCCAGCATATCATAGCATGTCCCAGTAAGGCAGTTGGTTGAGAATGCTGTTGAGCGGGCGGGCGACTCAAGATATCCAACTGCCCCATAGTTTCTTTGCACCTGGTTGAAAACACGTCTTCTAGCTTCAGCCTTATAAGCTAGGTAGTGAAGCATAATACGAAACACTAATGCAAAGAGTGGTGTTGACAGTCATGTTTGGCGTCCTCCAGCTTATGGACCAGGTACTATCCTATGATAATGATTTTCCGGAACTATATGGGCTATAGTCTAAACTCCTAGTAGCCCCCTTAACAAACCCTATTGTAATACTCCCCTATATAAGCCCCTTTACGGAGTTTAGACTACAGCTCATGTAGGACAGTACCTGGCCTATAAACTTGAGTTTTTCCTACTCGCCCATAGACAAACCAAGGGTTCCTGAACCGCAATGCGATCCCGTTTCGGCTCGCATCTGGCGCCCTGAGCCCCATGGGCACTGAAGCCCTCCTCCTACTGCGTAGAGGATCTACAGCTCATTACATGCAATTAGATGATGCATTTATCAAAGGGGGTTGGGAATGAATAACACCTCGAAGCCTAAACCCTAAACCCCTCATCCCTGCACAATTTCGGTCACAGGCTGAAGTCGAATCAGGAGGCGGCTCTGGAAATCGTCGGGGACATGGGTCTTGGCAAGCCTTCAGCTTACCAGTGCTTTGTAAGGAATAATAAAGGAACATTTTTCCTATATGATCCCTGTATAATATGTTTCCTTCCTCCCTACTAACCGTTTCTAACCACCAGTAAGTCAGAGTAGTTATGTACGCAGATGGCCTGTCAGGCTTATACCTGACAATAGACAAAACCATGGCGGTTCCGTGGCTTACCGAGGCTTAGTAGGGAACAAGGGAATATATTCTTTAGAGCTTTTAATTTTCTGGGGATTCCCTTATTCCCTGCTAAGCACCAGTAAGGCGCAGGGTTGCGGCAGCGATGAATTCCTTACTCCTGCTCCTCCCCGAAATTCCGAATCCGGCAACACTTTTTCTAGACTCGCTGAGGCAGAGAGGTAGGTTGAGGCTTCGGGTTTCGTTTTCAATGTGCTGATGCGCATATTGTAGACCCGTCGCCAGCGCAGCGAATCTCAACTATCTCTGCTTGGGGGTTCATGGGCAGTGATACATGCAGTTCAAATACGGTGGATACAGGAAGTCCGGCACCCGCATGTGCAGCCCCGATGATGGAGGTTAGACCAGCTTTTGTATCCTAACTGGTGCAACATCTTCTCATCCCGTACAAGCTGCCAACTAGTGATATCGCCCTTCCAAGTAAAGATGCAATGTCCTCTACTCTTGGAGACCACTTGCCAGAACTACTAGGGTCTATACGCCAAAATCATGTACTCTCGTGTTGCAGCCGCTCACCGCCTCCACTTCTTCTTCTGCTTTTCCTTACCTTTCGCCGAGGTCATGCTGGGATGTGCTAACTCATGCCAGGGTTTTCCCACCATCAGAGCTACTTCAGTTGGGAACAAGCAAGAGCCTCGCCGGCTAACTCCCCACTAAAAGGAAACTTGCAGGATCCATGGACAGTGCCTGCTTGAAAATCTTATCGGGTGATAGCACGAAGGGGCCAAGCAGCCGGCGTCTTTGGCGATCCCATGGAGATTCAAGCATCAAATTTCATGGCATCGTTTGGGGGAGTTTCCAACACTGAGGGTTCCCTTCCTGGCGGTTCCGAAGTTGATCAGGAATCTACCATTAGGGCCCTGTTTTGGGGAGCTCTCGTTTTGAAAGACACACAAGAAAGCCCGGGGTGAGATTAGGCTACGCCCGGCGCCTAGCGCCAAAACCACAACCATAACCAAGCTGAAACATTGGGCAAAACGTAGCGGTAGCACCAATAATAGCCTGAACGTAACAAGTTGTCATAGTGAAGAGAATGCCAATCACAGTCGCAACACTGCAACGTCTATAGCATGACTCTTCCTTTCCTTGTCCGTCGGAAGCCTTGCAAGTTCGGAGATTATCTCTGGGTGGGTTAAATTCAGCTCCGACATATGAAATGCTGCCAAATTTCGGGGCAGTCTTTTACATAATCAACATTCGGGGCGTTGCCGTTGTTACTTCCCCAGTTATCTGCAGCAACCGCCGGCCTCTGTTGGTTGCTCCAGGTTTGTTGCTTTGGTGCCGGTGGGCAATATGTACCTTGGCGCAACATTATCTTGAGGTCTGCTTGAGGTACCCTTTACAATATTCATACAAGCAATCTAGAACCAGAAGGTTGTAAATCATTTATGCAATCCCCTCGGGCAGCGAGGCGCTGTTGAAGGGCCTGAAGATTCGGAGCCGTGTCGAACACCAGTGCAGAGAGGAGGCTCTAGCAATGGCCTACTCTTTTTGGAGGCCCGGAGAAGCGTGCACACATGTCATATATTTGCACGAAGGCAGCAAGAACGATTTCGGTCTTTGTTGCGGTACTTGGACTGCAACTGCTGCAATTACTAATTACTGTAAACCTTCGAATAATGGCAATGTAACGCCCAAGAGGGCTCCTCATGATCCCCACGTATCCCTGCTCAACCTGTAGATCCTTTTTAGGAGCACCACCCGTTCAAAGACTTCCACAGAACATGAAAAAGACCTGCGCGTGCGCATGCCTCCAACTTCCTACGCAAAGCTTTTGATGACAAAGGTAAAAATACCAATAATCGCAATTAGAATATCGATATGATAGTAACAAAGTAGTAATGATAGTCTTAACAGTAATGACGTAGTAGCACTAGTAGGGCAGATCCAGGCCTGGCTCACGAAACTGAGTCGCGCGCACTTTTTAAGCGCATCCCTGCGACGTCCACCTTGCAGGGACCGAGAGCGGCATGTTACGGTAAAGGGTCTGGAAACAAGGAGGGCTCAGGAAAGCTGGATCTGAACGATGATGCTTCCAATCTAAGTACAAGTAAGAAATTTTGACGTCTCCCTTATGATGCAGAGGCCAAAGATGCGCAATGCGAAGGTGCTGATTACTTGGAGCAGGTTCCAGCTTCAATTGACCCCATGGCTCAGGTGGAAGTCAGCTAGTCATGCTTGTTGGGCACATTAAACCCTGCTGTTGGGAGAGTATATGGGATTATAGGCAGGAAGGGTTCCTTAAAATGAGGGGTACGTTTGGGGGTCCATATCCTAAATAAATGCTGTAAGGATTGTAGATTTTGGGGTCTTTATTGGGGTCCTATTCTGGGCAACTACCATATTCTTTGCCCCAAGCACGTGCGCTAGATAGCATTTTCTCCACACGAGTGTCCAGCTACTTCACAGGAATCCAAGAATTCAAGAGAATGCCAGCCCTGACTGGCAGGGGCTCCTGAAAAGCGAACACACCTCGGGAGGCCGATCATGACTCATCGCAACAACAGGGTAGCATCAGGCAATCCAGCTTGGATGTTGTGAGGGATTCAAAGGCCTTCTGGCCTGATCTTAAAATTAAAACTTGTCAGGCGTTCAGCGCGACTTCCATACAGGAGTCTACGACTGGCTTCACCATGTTCGTGGCTGAACGCGAATACTGATAGGTTCAACAGGCTCATTTGAGACAAAGCTGGTCACTGCTTCGGGAGTTGGCTTCTCCCACTTCAGGAGGACAAACTTCTGGATGACCTTGGCAATGGTGAGCAGGCCCTCGTACTCGGCCAGGCGCATACCGAGGCAAATGCGAGGGCCATATCCGAAGGCCAGCGTGTCAAAGGGTTGAGCGGACACGATGCCCTCAGGCCCGAGCCATCGGGAAGGACGATAAACGTCCAGGTCGTTCCCAACCAGCCTCTTGAGCTGAGGATCACTCCTCAAAATGCGCCCAAAGGAAGTTATGAACTGCGTTCCCGGCGGCAGCTTCCGACCGGCCAAAACAAGCTCTTGAGTAGTCTCCAAACCAAGGATCTCTGCCGGCCCTGTGAACCGAAGCGTCTCCAACCATACCGCCCGCACCATACGCAGAGAATTGAGCTGCTCGAGGCCAAGCTCCCCATCTGGCAATTTTCGGACCTCTTGGGCAACGGCTTCCTGGAGCTGTTGGTCGCAGGAAAGGTGGTAGAAAACCCAGCTCAGGGCCAAGCTGGTCGTGTCCGTTCCTGCGGCAAACAGGGCAGCGAAGTTGTCCAACAGCTCTCTCGTGGTGAACTTGTCGTCTGCCATGGCCCTGAGTTTCTCAGCAATGCTCTTGCCGCTCTTTGCATTCTCCATGGCCTCCATGCATCGCTTGTCCATGCTCCTCCTAATTTTGTCTCCATCGTCAACCAGTGGCCCCAAGCCAGGAATTTTCCAATACGGCAGAATAGCATACATGCGCGACTGAACAGCAGCGAACATGCCCTTCACGTCATCGACTAGGTCAGAACTCCTGCTGCTCAGCATGTTGAGCTGCTGCCCAAATGCTGTGCTACAAATCACGTCCTTAGATGCGCAGCAGCCATAAGATCCTAACATTCCCACTCATGTTGTGGGGCTACAAACAAACAAAGGCACCTGGCCCCCTACAGCTAAGCGTCTGCTGTATACAGCGGCAAAAGGCTCGAGAAGTTCACCTCATGGCCAGCGGCAACATCTTTTTCGATCTCCCGGAGCAATGATTGGGTCACGTCTTCTATAGCAGGGATGTAGCCATCCACACTCTTCGTCCCGAAGGCGGGAGAAAGGATCCGCCGTTCGCGCTTCCAGCGCTCACCCTCAGAGAAGAAAATCCCGGCCGCAATATCCTTGGCATTCTGGAAGACGCTGAATCTCTGCACCTTCATGGGGCGCATAGAAAACACTGTCTTGGCGTGCTCCCAGCTGACCAAGCAAACTATGCGATTGCCAGCGAGGTTGAACTCGAACACGCCTTCCTCCCCGTACTGGTCAGCCCACTCATGGATCTTATGAGCGATGAGCTTCGCTCCAGGTCCGAGCGATGGAAGTACGCCCACAACCGGCCAGCTGGGAACTTGCTGAAACCGCTCCACCCGAGATCGGAGAAAGAGCCTGAGTTCACAGCAAGAGCTTAGCTCGGAAGCTTCTCAAAGCCTGCCAATTCAACGGCACAACTGACTCCCAACTACCAGAAAGTGACGGGCGAAAATCATAAAACACACACACTGCTCTTTCAGTTGGGAAGCTTGATTGCGAGTACAGACGCTGAGACCCCAGCCAAGGCGATTGCGAGACCACGACGTTCCGTAGCCATCTGCTGGAGTGTAGAGAGCGCCATAGAAGACAACAAAGCTGGAGGCAAAGACTAGGGGCAAAGGTTCTCAGGCCGACTTGAAGCAGTACACTGCCACAGGAAGCAGACAGCCCTTACAAGCATCGACCAGCAACGCATTGTCCTCGTGCTCTAAAATTGTTGCACGTTGTTCACCTCGCAGTGGTGCCACGTCATGGCAATCTTGCCATGCACAAACACTTATTTTGCCTGGAATATCTTCCTAGGCCCTCCTCCTACCCTCTATTGGGGCCTAAGTACCTACTATTTGGGACCATATATCCCCAAATAAGGGTACAAGGAGAGTCTTGGCTTGCGAACCCTAATCAAGTCAAAGTCCTGAGGACCAAGGTTAGGTCTCTCTACCTCGCGAACAATGGCCTCGCAAAACCCCCGGAATGGGGAGACCGCCGATGGCTTGGGTATTCTAAGGCCATCCCTCTCGTGTTCCTTGTCCGGGCCTGCACTTCCTGCATTATCTTGCAACACGCCAAGAACCCGCCCCTCAGCCTTAGCCTCCCCAGGGCGGACTACCACATAACCTCCCTTGAACCCTGCCCCCCCCCCCCCTCTCCCAAAAACCTGAGCCCTAAACCCCACAATCTCAAAGAAGCGCCTCCGGAAGTAGGCCATGCTCATGGAGGTCGAAAAGCGTGGCCGTTTCGAATGTCGGCGTCCTTGGTCCAAACCCGCTCCAAGCCCCCAGTGCATGATCTAACAATCATATTCAAAGCAGAGAGGGTCCCGGGCAACCAGCAGGCTCAAGCATCGGGGGATGCCTATATTCCTTCGAATTACTCGCGGAATTTTTGCACATGACTTCCATTTTTTTGCCATGTGCGTGCATCGCTCACGTGAGCATCGAGCAAGGTCATACAAACAAACATGCTGCCTAGACTTCTAGACTTTGCCCCTCTCCACTTAGAGGTCCTGAAGGGTTTAGGGAATATAGGGATTATACAGGGATGATGGAAAAGAATATGGAAACTACTATTTAGGGTTTGGGTAGCCCTTGGGGATCCGGATGTGGAGCTAAACTGTACTCGGCTTGCTGCCCATACCTTGAACATTGTCATTGTAGTTCCCCTAAATAGGGGACCCCAATATCGACCCCCAAATACTATATTCCTTATTACCGGGACCCCCAAAATGGTTCCCCGAATTTTGGGAAACTCCTACATGCTGTTTGTGAAGGATCACAAGGGTGCGCGCAGTACCCAAAGCTGGAGAGGTAGTGCGCAACCTTACATAATAACCAACGTTGCTCTGTTAGAGCCTTCTGCAACTATGGCACATGGTACCCCAACCCCAAACCCTGTCCTATTCATGTAGCCCTCCCTACATTGCCCACCCAAACTCTGGGCCTGCTGAGGGCCCCACCCCAGGATGAGGGGGAGCAAAGAAAAAGGAACAGCGACCTCACGTGGAGCTGAAATTATTCAAGCTTTTCAACATAAGGGTTTTTGCGGGGCCAGTGGGGATTTACAGGGATTACACGGGAACTTGTGGAGTCCTACTCAGAATTCCGCAAGGCCTGTTTGCAGTGGCCCAAATGCAAGCTATGCGTGCGTTGGAGCATGTGTGTTCGTGGCGTTCTTTTTCTTGCTGGGGCCCGGGTAGCTCCAAAACCTCACCACAGAACTTGAATTCCTATGAATCCTGTGGAAATTCTGAGTATGAGCCTGCGCCATCCTGCGCCTAAGACACTGAGGACGCGCAAATGATGGTCCTAGTCTGGGAGTCTGGGGCTTCTCATGAAGCCGGAGGCGTCTCAGAGGACTGAGAATATGGCTGTAGTTACGCGATGTCAAGTGGGTTCTGGGGGTCTAGAGTTGCTGCTTTGGTGCATGGATTTGCCGTCTGAAAGAGGGTAGCCGCATTACGCAAGGTTGTATCAGGTTGAGTACACGGACTTGCAGCATTGAAGTGATAAGCTCGTCTGCTGGCCAGCAGTTTGCGACCACAGCTGGTAATGCAGTTTTGTCCTGTCATGATCACTGGGTTCCATAGTACGGGGGTCCCCGCTTCAACAAGAAGATCAGGCATCAATAGGCCTAACAACCCATTTGTGGGTCGTGATACTGTTGATACTACAATTCAGCATGAGCTTAGTATACCATAGTACAAGAATTCCGAAGGTATAAGGTACCTAGGATCATGCATGATCTTTTAGTATCCACATGTATCCACCGTATTGACCCTGGGGGGTCAGGTCTGGCGGGTAGCGGTTGCCGAAAACAGGAAATCCTTCCTGGAGATATCCCTCGTAAGGATTGATTACCTGGAATGTACAGAGAGAAACCCCTTAACCTGTTTATGATCCCCATTTTGGGATCTTGGGGTGCACCAATATCATGTTGAAGGCTATTTGCACTACACTTGTCATAATTATATGAGGAGCTCGGGACCACAATATAGGTAACGTATTCCTACAGGCCCCTGGTATAAACCTAGTTGCCATTTCCTTTTGCATTTCCTTTTCCAACTGATGTCCAGTATTGGGGGTAATGTCCCAAAATCCCTAGTCCTAAACTGGAATCCCTTAAACCTTTTTTAACACGCTGTATTGCGTAAAGCAGCGTGCATCGCCATTCACGGGCTCCAGGTGGCCATCCCTTGGGGACAACGCTGCAGCCTATGCCAAAGGCTACTGGGACTGAGGATTTGGGCAAGGCTTGGGGAGTAGGGTAAAATATTTATCCTAATAATGGTGAACCAAATGGAAAACAAGGAAACCGGGATATACCAGGGATTTTAAGGGTTTAGGGCTTACCCTGTGGAACCCTGGAGATACTGAGAGTTTGGCCGCCAACTTATGAAGGCTCACAATAAGGAGTTTTTAAGCTTGTTACAGGGATACTCTGTGCTAGCTGGGGATTTCCCAAAATAGGGGACCCCAATATAGACCCCCAAATACTATAGCCCTTATTATGGGGACCCCCAAAAAGGTACCCCTAATTTTGGGAAGACCCCAGCTAGGTAAGGCCGTTCAAAGATCTTCAAAGTATGGCTTGCGGGTTGTAAGGCTTTATACGGCAACCATAGGCATGTGAAATGCGGCAATTGCATCGCGCCCCCGCGTAAAGACAATCAAGTACGGTTCTCCCGAAAAGTGTGTTTGCTAGGCTGCTTTTTTACAGATTCTATAGTAGACTGCCTTTCAAAGGCAGCGCGTTCTGCAGTTCAGGGTTCACGGGCCCGTTTGCAGTTGCTGGCTGCCACATGCAACACTACAACACCTCAACCTGACAAACCGCTGCGAGTGCATCTGCTGACCTCCAATTTCTGTAGCATGTCTGGTCTGGCGACGTGTTTAGGCTGTGGATGGCCGTGGCTTCAACGGGATCCTAACCAGAACATCAAACGAAAGGGGCCCGGGCTTATCTCCACATGGAACATGACAGGCAAACTGGGTTTATATAGGGGTCTATAGGGATACTTACCTATGTAATGGTCCCAGGTTCACCCATACAAGCACATCTCAAGTAGCTCATAATCATAAACCTCTAGAGCGAAACATCATCCAGAGTTCTTGGCTAACAGCCATGACTGCAAGACATCCCTGGCCGAAGCCCTCAAAACCTTCACGAGCTTCCGCTGGCCAACATGCAAAGTCTTCCTGATTCTCTACGTTGCAACTTAAAGTTGCCTTGGGAAGATTGCCTTGGACACTGAAAACGGAAGGAAGGCACATCAGCATCCCGGCCAAATCCCTAAACTGGGTTGCTGTTTGGGAACTTACGCTAAGTTGCCATAATGGGTAGATATACATATATATAATAAAGTCATGAATATGGTTTCCTCAATGTAATAGCTTAAATTAAGTTCCTCAAATCCCCATGTTCCCCCAGTGTCCATTTGATATTCCATTTTCTTTTCCATTTGATTCCATGATAGGAGGATAGTAAACCCCTAAATCCTAAACACTAAACCCCAAACCATGGTTTCCCCAATATAGTAACGTAAATTAAATGCATTAACCAGAACCCTGTAAACCCTCTACCCTGTACCCAAAACACAGGCCTCCGGGGCCTGGCTAAACCATAGCCCCCATGGTGGCTACATTGCACATGCTGGAGCCAAACCCCTGCAAGACAATAGTAATAATCGTAATAATGATACTGATAGTAGTAATAGCAATAGTAGTAATGATAACCATAATAAGACTAATAAGGATGGTAACAATACAGGGCTTCAACAGGCACATTCCGTGGCTCGCACGCTGTCGCTAGACAGGATGAAGTTGCTAGCTAAAACCGGTCATCTGAAAATCATGATACCAGAAAATAACTCCACGAGAGCAGAGAAACATACCGTAGTTTCCTGGGAGTAGCAAACTCATCAACTCGGAATCGCACTGCCAACATAGGGTTTCATGACATGCCTGTGCAACGTTCCTCTGGACGGGTTGCGGGGACTACATCTACACGAACATGCCTGCTGATGATCATGGCAGGGAAGCAACTGACGACGACCGTGCTGGAGACAACAGCCTATTGCGCTCCTCTTGCTCCGCTACGCATGCCTCTAGAGCGTGAAGCGATCTTCGTAGCATTGGGACCATGGAGGGCACCGATCCTACAGCATTCCTTTTCCTAGCGCGGTGCTTGCACAAGAGTCCCGCCCTCGTGACTGAACCCTGCACCTCCTCCTCCCCATCCGCCTCATGCGTGGATGTTCGCGATGCCCTAGACTCATGTCACTTTATCTCACACCCTCATATGACTTCAAATCTGCACCCTAGACCGTAACCGCCGAAACTTTTGTGCCTCACCCCTTGCTCCCCAAAAAAAGCCCTACCCCTTTTTTTCCATAAGTCCATCAACATCCAAAAACAGTTACGGCCTTCAGGCTCACATCCTAAACCCTAACCTCTAAACCTGAACCGTGACCCCTCCCTCTCTCTCTCTCTCTCTTTCTTTCTTTCTCTCTCTCTCTCTCTCTCTCTCTCACACGTGCTCAAGGCAAAACTTGAACCCTAAACCTTAAATCCTAAACCCTAGACA